TACTTCTCAGGCCGGGGGAGGCAATCAGACTCCAGTTGCCCGCACGCCTGAGCAGGTAGTGCAGGGACTCCAGATGCCGGGGGCACCTCCAGCCCAGCCAGTTGCACCAGTTCAGGAATACGTGGTGCCAGTTATGCCCGACGATGAGCAACGTCGTCTGGAGAGGTTTGGTAGACTCCAGCCACCGTCATTCAGTGGTGCTGAGGGCGAGGATGCCCAAGGTTTTCTTGACAAGTGTCAGCGAATGCTCCGGACAGCCGGAATTCTTGAGTCTAGTGGTGTGGCATTCACCACATTTCAATTCACGGGAGCCGCCTTTAATTGGTGGGAGGCTTATGAGAGGCGTAGGCCGGTTGATGCAGCGCCTCTTACGTGGCAACAATTCTCCACTCTTTTCTTGGAGAGGTATGTACCACAGTCCCGCAGAGAGGAACTGCGGAGACAGTTTGAATGGCTGATACAGGGGGATATGACTGTATCACAGTACGAGTCAAGATTCTCTGAGTTGGCTCGACATGCTATCTGGATGGTTCCGACTGATCGTGAAAGGATCAGGAGGTTTGTGGATGGCCTTAACTACCCTCTCCGTGTACTTATGACCAGGGAGAGAGTATTGAGTGCTACTTTCGAGGAAGTGGTTGACATAGCTCGCGAAATTGAGACGGTTCGCCGTCAGGAGCGAGAGGAAAGGGAGGTTAAGAGACCTCGAGGATCGGGTAATTACAGTGGTGCTCCTTCGAGAGGCCAATTTCAGCAAGGTAGAGGCCGTTCGTTCAGGCCTGCTCAGTCAGTAAGCCCAGGATATCATGGGGCTTCTGCAGGTCGTGGTTATCATGGGTTGCGGCAGGGCCAGTCTACACTTGGCGCCTTGCCAGTACATTCTCCGTCAGCCCAGGGTCCGCCTAGACAGAGTGCATCTGCTAGGGTACCAGTGAGCTGTTATGATTGTGGCGAGATGGGCCACGTACGGAGGTTTTGTCCCCATCGTGGAGCTGGATCATTCCAAGAGAGGGGTCAACCCTCGACTTCTGCTCCAGTTACTTCGTTACCAGCCCAGCCAGCCAGGGGTGGTGGTCAGGCAGTTAGAGGTCGCCCTAGAGGGGGAGGTCGAGCAGGCGGAGGCCAGGCTCGATTTTATGCTATTCCAGGCAGGACAGATGCCAGTGCATCTGATGCCGTTATTACAGGTATTATCTCAGTCTGCCACAGAGATGCCTCTGTATTGTTTGATCCCGGTTCTACTTATTCTTATGTGTCCATGTATTTTGCACATTATTTGGGTACGTCCCGTGAGCTTCTTGCTCTGCCTGTTCATGTGTCTACCCCGGTGGGTGACACTGTTGTTGTGGACCGTGTGTATCGGTCGTGTGTGGTAACCATTGGGGGTCTGGAGACCCGGGTTGACTTATTGCTATTAAGCATGGTGGATTTCGATGTTATTTTAGGCATGGATTGGTTATCTCCATGTCGTGCTATCTTAGACTGTCATGCTAAGACAGTTACCTTGGCTATGCCGGGTGTGCCGCGGATCGAGTGGCGTGGCGTGACTGATTATATCCCCGGCAGGGTGATATCATATTTGAAAGCCCAACAAATGGTTGGGAAGGGTTGCCTTGCATACTTAGCATTTGTAAGGGATGTTGGATCTGAGACTCCAAGCATCGATTCTGTTCCAGTTGTGCGGGAATTTCCCGACGTATTTCCTGCTGACCTACCGGGCATGCCGCCGGATAGGGATATTGATTTCGGTATTGATCTGGTGCCGGGCACACAGCCCATCTCTATTCCACCTTATCGTATGGCACCAGCAGAGTTGAAAGAATTAAAGGAGCAACTTCAAGAGCTCCTAGATAAAGGGTTCATTCGCCCTAGTGTGTCACCTTGGGGTGCACCAGTCTTATTTGTGAAGAAGAAAGATGGCACAATGAGAATGTGCATCGATTATAGGCAACTAAATAAGGCAACGATCAAGAACAAATATCCTTTGCCTCGTATTGATGATTTATTTGATCAGCTTCAGGGAGCACGAGTGTTCTCTAAAATTGACCTCCGTTCCGGATATCACCAGTTAAAGATCAGGGAAGCAGATATTCTTAAGACTGCCTTCCGGACTAGATATGGCCACTATGAGTTTCTTGTAATGTCCTTCGGGCTAACTAATGCCCCAGCAGCGTTCATGCAGTTGATGAACAATGTGTTTCGGCCTTATCTGGATTCGTTTGTGGTGGTCTTCATTGATGACATCCTGGTGTACTCACGTAGCCAGGAAGAGCACGCAGAACACCTGCGGGTTGTATTACAGAGATTGAGGGAGGAGAAGCTTTATGCAAAATTCTCCAAGTGTGAGTTTTGGCTCAATTCGGTGGCTTTCTTGGGACACGTGGTGTCCAGTGAGGGTATTCAGGTGGATCCAAAGAAGATAGAGGCGGTTCAGAGTTGGCCTAGACCGTCCTCAGTCACAGAGATTCGTAGCTTTCTTGGGTTGGCAGGCTACTATCGCCGATTTGTTCAGGGTTTC